GCATATTGATATGCATTTCCTAAATTTCTAAAGTTGGATGGCTTTTAAAAGTACTAACGTCTCCTTTGAACTTCTGTCCCATCTTTCAGATTGAAAAATACAAGAATCTTCCTCCTGTATAGTTTTAATGAGTGGAAAATACAGGTTGTATTGCATTTAAGCACATAAGTAAATTATAAACAGCAAAATTAAAGAATGAAACTGAGTTCCCATGAAGACAAATTGAAACCCAGCAATGACCTTTTGTATTTCTCCCCTGACACAGGGAATGAGTAATCCCTGAAAGATTAGGGTAAAAATATTAACTGCTAGCTATTAAAAACCATCCATCCTAAGAATAGTTTTCATCATATCAATTTAGCCTTTTTGGTGTGTATTCACATGCTAAAAAGTTATCAAAATATTGAAACTCTTAGTGAGTTAGTTTTAAATGATGGGTGTCTGAAAGTTATTGTTGAGAACTTGTTACAGGTTTGGAAATAATTTAAATGATCACAGTGTATAGATTATATTTACACAAATTTTATTGTAGCAAATTGAACTCAGACAGAGGTGTAGAGGTCCTTTTTTAATAACTGTCTTAACTATTTTTTATATACATGCACATATGTATATACATGTTTTTTCTTTCAGCTTGTCACACTAATGAAACAATATGATGTTTATATTTGTGTGTTATTTCACTAATGAGTATGTTCTCAATGTGTATACATTTACTTATAAAAGTGTCCAGTTTATCATTCTTTATTTTTTGGTTTTTCAAATCTCACTGTGTATCCCTGGCTTACCTTGAACTCACTGCAATCCTCCTGTGTTAGTCTCCTGAGTACTAGGATTATAGGCATGTTCCACCACACCCAGTTTTTGAGAGTGGTGCTTTTTACATCTTTGTAGTTATATTGCAATTTTATGACATAAAATTATTAGTGTAACTCTTTAAACATTAGGCCTAAATTTTTATATTAAAGTACTGATCATGATCAGCAACATAATTAAAGTTCACCTGGGGTAAGAAGGGGGCTGCTGTTTGCTAACACTACTTCTAGAGTTCTATTTAATAGAACTCATTTTCTCAAGAAAGTAGGTAACTGGTTGGTGTTTTCTCTAGTTTTCATTTTATTCATTCAGTTAATTCAGAAAACATTTATTCATCACCTACCATGTATCATGTCATGTTTTAGGTAATGGGCGTATATGAATGAATAAAATGAACAAACATTCCCATCCTCCAAGACCTATATTTCAGTGGTAAGAGCCAGATAATAAGATAAATCAGGAGATTGTATAATATGTAGGAAAACTTTGGAGAAAAAGAGAAGCAAGAAGGAAAATAAAAGATTACTGGGGGATGGGAAGCCACAGTTTCAAAAAGAGTGCCCAGGGAAGGACTCATCGAGGACACTGAAGCAGACAACTGACCAGATGAGAAGAGAGTTAGATGGATGTCTGGGGAAAGATCATTCCAATAAATACATGACTGTGAGTCTGCTTTCCTACTTAGTTTTTAGTTTGCCAATTTCTTCTCTTCTAGTAATTTGGTGATGGGGAACAGGAAATAATTTTGAGGTTTGATTACAAATATTAATAATTTTTTCTTGGCCTCTTCATCCATTGGAGCTCACTTTGTTTCTTTGTCGTAGTTTCTGATAAAGACACCCTCAAGTGGAATAGTGCTGAAGACTAGTGGTCTTCACATCTCTTCTGTTAAGAGAAAGAAAGAGCTAGGAAATCAACTAAAAACAGAGATTCAGTGTCAGTGTCCCCCTGTGGAAGTCCTGCTTTTTGCAAAGTTTGGCATGTGAAGGAGACCTTTGGGACTCATTCAATGCCAGGGAAGATGTTACCATTTAACATTAAATGATAAGTCACAGGAGAACAGGAAACCAATCCCTTCCTGTAAGTTGGTGCCATGTGTCGGTCATGGGGAGAACCAGACTCCAGCTCCTTCCGGTGTGCGGACTAAGAAGAAGAGCTCAGGTCTCCCTCACTTCCCCTATAAGCAACTGGCTGATCCTGAGAAACACAGGCTGAGATGATAGCTATTGAAGTAAAACACAATTTAATGCTTGTAGTGTTTTGTGTTTCATTGAATTTGCAGGCCTAAAGCTAGCAGTCTGATCATCTATTTAGAAGATAACTATATACAATATAACATCTTTCTGGGATCTCCTTATGAAGGTGGTAGCCATTGTTTGTTCCCTATTGTCTTGTTTTAAAGCCCTGTGGCATTTTTATTGTTTTGTTTGGTTTGATTTTACTCCACTTTGTTATATCTGATGGCATGAGCAGCTATTTCAAAGATAACAAGATATATTATGGGGGCTGGGAATTTAGCTCAGCGGCATAAGCGCCTGCCTTGCAGGCAGGCAGTCGTGAGTTCGATCCCTGGTACTGATAAAAAGGAAAAAGACCAAAAAAAAAAAAGATATATTATGGTAGCCGTCTTGGATTTACTATCATCTTGTTTTGAAGTCCTGTATTGCATTTATTGTTTTGTTTTTATTGGTTCTATTCTGGTCTGTTTTGTTTGATTTTACTGTGTCTGGTGGTATTTTGAAGACAACAAGCTATTTTGAAGACAACAAGAAGCATTATGGTAGCCATTTTTTATTTACTATTACCTTGCTTTGAAATCCTATATCACTTACACTGTTTTCATTGGCTTTACTCTGTTTTATTTTGGTTGGTTTTATTCTCTTTGAAATAAAAACATTAAATAGTAACTGTAGAAATTAGAAAAGTTTTCTGGGTGTGGTGGTGCCCACCTGTAAGGACCCTCCCCCAATTAGAAAAGTTAGAAAACCATAAAATAGTATTTCCATTATAATTTTAAAATTATGGCTCTGGGAAAAAATTATGAAACTTTTGCTTTCCACATATTAACTCCAGTTTCAAAAGGGATCCTATCATGGTGGTGTCAAGCGCCAGGCTGTGTTATGAAAGTGCCCTGATTCTTAAAAAGTGTCCTGACCAACATGAAGCACTATTGTTTAGTAGGCCATTGCTGCCTCTTTTAGAAATTTGGGCAACTATTTGACTGGATTAGACTAACAAATACTCATCCATAGTGAAAGCTAGACCCTTCAGGGTGAAGGAAGAATGTAAGTTATTCTTCCAAAGCTGACAAGTTATTTAACCTCATCACTTCAGCTCCCTCATCTGAAAAGTGAGGATAAAATAGTACTTCCTTCCTTTACAGTGTTTGTATTAGTTACTTTCCATCATTGGGACATAATACCAACACCTGCAATGTAAGGGGAGTGGGGTTTATTTCGGCTCATTGTTTCCATCCACAGTCACTGACTCCAAGACAGAAACAAGATGGTGGAGGAACACGGTGGAGGAAAAGGAGCTTATGGCGGTCAAGAAGCAGAGAGCAGTGAAGTTGAGGATAAGAGGAAACCCTTCCAAATGCTGCTTCTCATGACACACTTCCTATTGTAATTAGGGGTTGTAAGGAGAACAATTAGAATCAGGACACATAATTTATGATGATCATCTAGAGTTAAATATAAGAAAGTACAGGAAATCTGTCTACAACACTAAAGACCCAGAACATTCAGCCAAGGCCTGGAACCCACAGCAATGTCCTGCATGAGTCCAGATGAAGACTCAGAGCTCGTGACAATGCCTCCCACAAATCCAACTGGAGGTCCAGAGCCTACAAGAAGGACTCATGCCAGTGTCTTTTATGGATCTGTGCTGGGAAGGCCAAAGGTCAGAGGTGGAAGCTAGAAAGTCCATGCCAGCGAGGTGAAGGAGCTGTGCTGGTAGATTGAGGATTCTACACTGGAGCTGAGAAGTCACGCTCATAATAATGACCAGGGCTGTACTGAAAAGCACCACAGCCATCCTCAGCGACACAGAGGCTCCAAGCTCCTCTGAGGATAAGAAGTTGAGTACGTGCCAGAAAGCCAGCATGATGAGTTTGTCCTGGAGTTTGAACAGTGCACGTCTTCCCCTCCTGGAGGCAGGAAGCAATGCTCGATGTAAGGACCAGAGCTTCCCCAAAGTGAACCACAGCCACTCTCACCAACAAGGTCTTGAGCTCCTTTGATGACAATGTTTGAACTCACACTGAAGAATCTAGTCATGATGAGCTCCTCCAGGAGAACCAACGGCTCAAACAGCAACACTTGGAGAAACCCACAAGGCCTTGCTCATGTTCTCCATGTCTGTATTTATGCTGGCAACTTTCTTCAGGTAGAACATCTGCGCTGGCGATTTAACTCCGTTGGTGTTAAGCTGGCCACCAGTTTTTAATCCATAACACCTCCTAACAAGAAATCAGCTCTAGCGCCCCTATAAGCCAATCACCTCCCAAAACCCCACCTCAGAATACATGATGCTTGGGATATAGCTAAACCATAATGTGGTTAAGTGAGGATTAAGTGGGACAACACATTAAATCACTAAAAATAGGACCTCACTTGCAAAACAGCGTGAAAAAATGTTCAGAATTGTAAGTCTACAAAAATATTTATGGAGAGGGCCTACCTTGAAATTCTTCTACTGAGACCTACATTGTAGATCTATCACTTGTGAACTTGATCTTGTCAGTAAAAGCTTCATAGGGTTAATATTTTGTTCAACTCACAAACCTTTATTAAACCCTCATTCTGGGTTAGGTCCTGTGTTGGGATTAGTGGGTTTTAATTCAGCACTTTTGTTTTTCATTGGAGAGAAAAGTTCACCGCCTTATTAAATGCCAGGTATTCTGAGTTTTAGAAAAGTTATTGTCAAAGCACTGAACTAGAACGGCCTCAGAGGCGCGCAGACCCTGCGGGAAGGTGAGCCGGGCTGGGCAAGGTGCCGGATTAGGAAGAAAGCGCTCCTGGCCTCGGCCTATTGGTTGGCGTTTAAAACCCTCCCTGGCATTATTTCTAGCTGAATAGGGCACAGAGTTGTCCTCTTTCCCTAGTTAAATCACGTGCTTCAAAGTGAAGGTGGTAGCCGCCGCCGAGCGCCCTCCCCCGCCTCCGGCTGCATCCTGGTCCGCCCGGCCACATCCTGCTCGTGGCCGCTGCGGCACAGAGCTCGGGGAGGTCGGTCCCCCGGCCGCAGGTGTCCGCAGGTGGCCAGCGGCGGTGTCCCCCGGCCGGAGCCCGGTGGGGCCGGGGGGAGGTCGGGGCGCGCCCCGCCGAGGGCTCCCCGCGGGGCCGAGGCCGCCCCTCCTCCCGGAACTGGCCGGCGCCGCGAGGCGCGCCCGGGCCATGGAGGTCCTTCCCGCGGGCGGCGGCGCTGGGCAGCCGGGCGCCCGGGACGCGGGGGAGCGCCAGGAGCAGCGGGAGCCCGGCGGGCGCGCGAGCCGCACGGTGTCCCTGGTCAGCGGGCTGCTGACCGAGCTGTACAGCTGCGCCGAGGAGGACGAGGCCGCGGGCCGCGGGCCGGGGGACACGCAGCGACACCGCGACAGCCTGGACAGCTCCACCGAGGCCTCGGGCCCCGACGCGCTCCTGGGCGGCCGGCCGGCGACGGGCCTCAGCCAGCGGCTGCAGGTGCAGCACCTGCGGCAGAAAGGTGAGGTCGGAGGGGCACCCTGGGCTCCGGTGCGCGCAGGGTGTAAACGCCCAGTCCCCCTGGATGTGACGCGGGTGCGCGCACTGCCCGCTGCTCTCGACTGCACTTAGATCGGATCCCCTCTCCAGGGCTGCTTCGCGCGTCAGTGGTTGGAATGGTTGGCTTTTCCTTTCCTCATCCCCAGGTGCGCCTGGAGCCCCGAGGGGAGAGGCGGTCGGGATTCCAGTTTCAGCTGACAGCTGTTACGAACCCTTTGAAGTTTTTTGTGGTTTCTGACACGTGTACTTGAGGTTCCCCATAGGAGGCTCGGAGAAAAGAGGCGATTCCTAGGGCTATTTTCTGTTTGCTTGTGTTTTTTTAATAGTCCTCCTTACCTTGCCACGCCACTGGATAGCGTTTGATGAGGCACGATGATTCGGTAATGCAATTTCGAGGCACAGCATATGAATTCCATTTCTGCTAGAGTTTAAGGTTTCAAGCAGCTCACTATGTGTTATGTTCTCTCTGTGGACTACTGGAGACTCTCCGAGCACTGGCTTCATTACAAAATTTATGTGCTGATAACTTCAGTATGTATGGAGACACTAAGATGAGAAAATAGCCTTGGCTTTCACCAGGGAGGGGCCGATTTGGTGTTTCTTTTGTTATCAAACTCTGAAGCTCATGTCCGGATTGAGATCTTTTTTTTCCCTCAACTATTCATAGCTTCTCTTTTAAACACTATCACAGTTATTACTTTTTTTGTATAGATAAAAACATGACCACAATTTAGAAAATTTAGTGAGGTATGGAAATAGAAGCTAATCCACAGTAACATTTCTTGGAAATAATGATCTTGTGCTAAATCACCAGGGGAGAGATGAAAAGAGGGTGTTGTACAATGGTCTCCTATCTTCTCATTGTAAAATCAGTCTAGCTGCTGATGGTAGCGGATGAGTAGGGAAAATAAATCTGTCTCCTTTTCCAGCCTATCTATGCAAACGGTTTTTAGCTTTATCTTTTGGCTTCCTGATGAAGATTTGTTTCTCCCAGGTGATTGTTGCAAGTGGCTTCTACCTTCCTCCTTCTGTGTAGGACTTTGACTGGAGTTGTGCCATTTCACTTTATACGGTTATTGGACTATTCTCATAGTGTGTGTTCATGCCAGAAGTTCCATAGGGTGACAGTTCTTTCAGACTCCAACAGAAGCAGTTCTAAAGAACTGATTTACTTTTCTTCAAAGGCTATTCACTTTTAATTACTGAGGGATTTGGAGGATTAGTAATTTCCTTTTCCAAGAGAAAAACTGGCAAGACAAAATTTAGAAAGAAGAGAATAGTGAAGCTTTGTAAGAGGGCTTTATATAAATGATCATTCTACTAATCATTGACAAGATCTATGAGTCCATTTTTGCCCCAGGCCCAGTTGCTAGCTGATCCTTTCTTTACTCCTAGTCAGCCCTAATAGAATGAACAAAATGCCATATTCTAATGGCACGGGATTTCTATTGTAAACATAACTAGGATGCTAAGATTAAAGAATCAGGTGATAGATACAGTTTTCTGCTTAAATAATATTGCTTATTAGGTGATTTTTTTCAATGTTGAGAGACCCCTCCCAATAACCACTCTGTGTTCAGCAAGAGTCTTATATAATACAGAAGACCTGTGTATTAATTCTTTTCACTGTTAAGAATTTTGCTGTAGCACTAATGTGGCACCTGTTTAGAAACTTAACATGTGTGGGTCCTTTGTTTAGGTGAGGTATAGAAATGATTTCTCGGGAAATCTGGGCCGGCAGTGTTTGCATGGTGAATAGGATGAACTTTGGAGTTGGATTTCTGGTTGATATCCTGCCACAATTCCTTATTAGCTGTGTGACTTTGCTATTTAATGTCCTTATGTCTCATTTTCTTATAAAGAGGGATAATACCACCTTCTTCAGAGGACTGTGATGAGAAACACATATGCTGTTTATGTGAACTGCTCAATGAATGTTAGAGTTTTTAAAAAGTAAGAAAAAAATACTTTTTTGAGACAAAATCTCATTATGTAGCTTAGCCTGGCCTTGAACTCACTGTGTTGCCCAGGCTGACCTCAAACTTACTATGTTCCTCCTACCTCAGCCTCCCAGTGCTGGGATTACAGGCTTGCATCACCATGCCTGGCTCTTAAAGATTATTATTATCATACACCTGGAATTCCTTAGAGAGTAAATTGGTCACTTTTTCAGATGACAATTTCAGTTAACACTGTGCAAGAGAATGTGGCTGGTATGGAGCATAAAAGATGTAGTAATCTTGTTTCTGCCCCTAGGACATTTATATCCTAGCAGATATTGCTGTGAGGACAGTTACACTCTCAAGTCTGAAAATTATGAGAATTACAGTCTGAATTCAGAGAATTACAGATTCATAGGCATTGTACCTTATGAGTTGTGGAAAACCACTGGCATTCAGTTAAGTTTTTATATCATCTCATACTGCTATGAATGATAGTTTGAAGAATGCAGACATTCTAATTTATCTGTTTAAAGGAAATGTATTTTCCACTACATATGAAAAAGAACTGAGCTTCCAAAATGAAGTATTATATGTAGTAATAAGACTATTGGGAGAACATAGACTTAAAGCAAAATCAGTATTGCATTTACCTACATTACAAAATGTGGTAAAATTATTTACTCTTAACTGGTAATTTACAAAGATGAATGCTTTAAAAATTATTAGCTGGGGTTGAGGATATAGCCCAGCAGCACAGCACTTGCCTGGCAAATACAGGTCCTGAGTTTGATTCCCAGTACAAAACAAATTATCAGCTAAGTTTATCATTAATGTAAAAGATTTTAAAAGATTCTTGTCTTGCAAACTGACCACTGGTGCACTTTAATAATGCAAGGTTTACAAGCCAGTTTTTAGGCAGTGAAAAGTAGTTGTGCAACAGAAGCTGGACACAGACAAATTAACTTTTGCTGACATGTTACAGATAGCACTAGGATTAAAACTTGTTTTACAGTATTTTACTCTAATTTGTCTTACAATATTTAGACAGGGAAAGGACTGAATGGATGACTTATTTGTTCAGAATGTATGAACTGAATACTTACATGTAATCTAAGGCAAAAGCCTTGTCTTAGTTACTTTTCTCTCCTTGTTGAGACAAAATACCTGACACCCAAAGTGAAGCAAGGAAAGGTTTATTTCTTACAGTTTTTGGAGGTTTCAGTCCGTACTCAGCTGGCTGCAAGGCAGGATGGCATGGCTGAGGGGCTGCCATTCATGGCCACCAGGAGCAGCAAGCTGGAACAGCATAAAAGAGGAAAGACACGCCTCCTTCCTGCCCTTACAGTGGATGCTGGCTCCACCCCCGGGGCAGATGCAGCGCTCACACCACCAATTCCAGTGCTAGACAACAAACCAGTCATGATCACCGGACTCAGCTGTGTCCATGATTGCATGAGGCTTGGGGTGGTGAGCATCTGAACACAAACTATAACAAGCCTAGAGTTGAGTGATTTAAACAGATGTTCTAGATATTTATCTTTTACTAGTGTCACATTGGGATTTTTATTCCTGTTGGGATATTTATTATTTTATTTTTCTTATCTTCACTGACAGACTCTGATGAGTTGAAGATGATCCTCCAAGAGCTGAAGTATAGAATTGGCATTCAGTCAGCAAAGTTACTCCGGCAGTTGAAGCAGAAAGATAGGCTTCTGCATAACATGCAGACCAACTGTGACATCGTGACTGCCTGCTTGCAGGCTGTGTCACAGAAGAGAAGTAAGTACTGGAGTGGGGTTAGTCCTTTTGCCACATTTCACTGTAATGCCAGTGGAGCCATCAATAGACAGTGTGTTTTGAATATTTTGAAAAGTTCTGTAGGAAGCTCATACCCTCATAACTAAGAACAACTCAGACAGCTTCCTGTTTTTTCAGTTAAAACAAACACTTAATTTTTAATATTACAATCTTTGTTTGGTTACCCTACCTTTAAGGGAGTGCTTCCTTTTGACAATGGTTATTTTTGCTTCATGCTAAATAGTAACTAAATTGTTTCTTTTTAAAGCAGCACTGAAAATATGTAATCTAAAGGATTAAGATATAATCTTAATCTCTATGTTGCTCTAATAAGTGAAGTAACCAATTGACCTGAAGGAGTCTTTTGTAATAGAATCTTGTAACTTTCTGTGAAACTTGAAAAGGGCAAAATATTTTAACAGTGAAAGCTGTCTCTTGGGCAATCCACTTATAATTAAGAGCTGCATGATTTGTATATTGAGTAAAAAATAGTTAAATTATTCATCTCAAAGACTAGATATAAAAACTTGTGACTTAATTTTTATAATTCTCCATGCAACAGTTTTGAGTTTTATTCTGCTAACATTTCCTTATTTCTGTTTTGCATTCTTTATTAACACGCAGCACGGCAGATCAGTGTGTTCAGGTATGGTAAATGTAGGCACAAGTGATATGTTTTGATAAAATGCCTGTGGTGGCTTTTCAAGTGCATGCAAAAGTTGCCCTTTATTATTCCTTTACTCTCATATGAAAATTAATACATTCTATAGCTTTAAAATATTGCAAGTTAAGATGTGTTTGTTTTCATGAAAGAATTTTCAGGGCTTGATTAGTTTCAGATAATAAGATTAATGTCTTAAGTACTGTATTGTTCTAATGTTTGTTCTTTTTTTTAATCAGTACTGGGAACTCACGACCAGTAAGACAGGCGCTTATGCCACTGAGCTAAATTCCCAGCCCCCTATTCTAATGTTTATCATTAAAAGAAAAGTGTCTTTTGCTCTTCTTTTATTATACTACTATTTGGCATTCTCAAAATTTTATTTTATGCTTTTAAATAAAGGAAGTGTTGCATAATGTTTACTAGAATGCAACTGATTATCAATAATATTATTGTTATTGTCTATACCAAGCAGGAATGTGGTAGATTAAACTGTCTGTGAATAGGGTGTTCTTCGGAGTCAGGCACTTGTCTGACATAGCTAGAGAAAGAAGTGCATGTGTGTGTGTATATGTTTACATGCAAATTTACATCTACCTATAAAAGTGTGCTACATGTATTTGATAGTTTTTCATAGATTCTGATTGATTCAGACATCAAGTGAGAATCATTTTTTCCTTCTATCATGAAATTCTTTGATGTTGATTTTTCTCCTTCAAATATATTCTGTACTGCTATTATTATTGTTTGTACCTGCAGTTAAAAGCACAAAATAGTAAATGCATGGAGTTTTGATGTGTGAGAAAGTTTATAAGAGAGGATTGAGCAGGAATTGGAAGACAGAGGGGAATATCAGGCATTCATGTGATCATGGATCACTAGATTTTATTGGTGGCCAGTAGGGACTGACAATCATTTAGAGTTAAATTTTCTTGATTGATGAGAGGACCGGCATTTATGTCTTTTTATACAATTATTTCCAGAAGTGCTCAGTTTCACTGAGTTTGTAAAGTAGATTTCTTATGTATTTTAGGATTTGTCTCCAATTCCAGCCAGGGTTTTACATTTCAGAGTCTAGAAGATTGTCTTCTTAAGAGGTGAATTCTCACCTTGGTGATGTGATTGTATTAAATTGAACAGTTGTTAATGAACAACTACATGAGAATTATTATTCTCATGTAGTAGTGTACTGTGATATAGATGGCATCAAAAGTTTGTTATTTATCCAATTTAGAACTCTGGAGATTAGATGTCTTGTCCCTAAATGCCTGATTTTACTAGCTGCATATTTTGCTTTTTTCCTTAAAGTCAATTAATACTTTTAAAATATATAGAGAGTTCTAAAAAATTGAAACTTTATTCTAACACTTAATAACTGGCCTTTCCTTTTAGTAGTGGTTGGCCATGATGTATTCAAATAGAACATGTGGAGTTGTTTGTATTTAATATTAAAAAACCAAGATAATCTCTATTTCTCCTTCCATATGAATTTGATGCTCATAAATTCTTTGCTTAAGTGACTTTTGCCCTTCCATCATATGCAATAAAATCAGTGTCTTAAGGATTTTATTAAAATGGGTTTTTTATTAATATACCAGAGGGAATATGATAATTTTGAAGTAAGAAATCATAAATGTGGGTTATGAATCAAATGACTAAATCATTTTTATTTCTAACACAAATGATATAACTGCTTAGACTTTATGGGTTCTTACACCAAGCCTTCTGGTAGTATCTCTTTGCTTTAAAACTAGGGTAGGGCTGGGTGTGGTGGCACATTCTTGTCATCCTGCAGCATTCTGGGTGGCTGAGATAGGGGGATAGAAAGTTCAGCCCCAACCTGGGCAACTGTTGCAGTAACACAGGACACATAATTTATAGAATTATTTTATAGTGGTCACCCAAGGAGTCAAACACAAAAAAGTGCGGGAAATCTGTCCACATACTAAAGACTCAAAGAATCCACCTGAAGGCCTGGATCTCACAGCAGTGTCTTGCATGAGTCCTGCTGAAGACCTGAAGCCCATAACAGTGCTCCCACAAGTCCACCTGGAGGGCAGAGCCCATAACAGTATCTTATGCAAGTCTGTTTCATAGATCTGTACTGGGAAGGCCCAAAGGTCAGTAGTGGAAGCAGGATGAAAGATCTGTGCCATGAGGCCAAGGTATCTATATTGGAGTGAGGAAGTCATGCTTAAAGTCAGGACCAGAGGCCGGGAATTTAGCTCACTGGCTCAAATGCTTGCCTGATAAGTGCAAGGTTGTGAGTTTCATTCCTGGTACAAAAAAAAAGGACCAAAGCTCCCCTGAAAAGTACCACAGCCATCCTCAGCAACAACAAAGTCCTAAGCCTCCTCTGATGATAACAGCTGGGTTCATATCACAAAGCCAGCATGAAAACTTCTCCCGGAGACTGAACAGCGTACCATCTTCCCCTCTGGGGCCAGGAAGTGATGTTCCAAGTGAGGACCAGAACTCTCCAATGAACCACAGCCATTCTCAGCAACAAGGTCCCAAGCTCCTCTGATGATGAGAGCAGCCAAGTTCATATCTGGAAAGAAGCTCCACAAGCTCCTCCAGAAGAGCTAATGACAACAGGAGAACCAACACCACCACTGCTTTCCTTCCAGTTGACCTTCTCACGTTGTTAGCATCAATCCTCAGGTGGGTCATCTGCGCCCAGCACCACACTGATTCAGTTCAGCTGGGTGTTACAAGTTGCCCACCAGTTGTCAGTCCACCGCAGCAACTTAGTGACTTAGCTAGTTCCTGCCTCAAAATAAAATAAAAAAAGGGCTAGGTATTTAGCATGATATAAAGGCCCTGGGTTTAATCCCTAGTACTTCAAAAACCAAAACCAAAACCAAACAAAAACAAAACTGAGGTGAGACTAAGAAAAGGAGGATGTGTTTGTCTTATGGAAGAGTATATTTCTCTATTCATTTAAGAGTAATTGTTGAATAAGAATAGCAGCAGCTGTTACAATTTATTGAGTACATGCTTTAAGTCAAATTATTGCTTTCTTTTCTCAGTAATTCCCAAAACATGTATCTCTAGGTACATTTTATTAAAACATTGAGATTCAGAAAGGTTAAGTAAACTGTCAAAAATTATACAGTCAATAAGAGACTGAGAAGGAATATAAGTAGAGTCTCAAAAATCCATCCCTTTCACTATAAACTATGACATAAAAGGTTCTAATTTTTTAAATAATTGTGTTATTCTGTAATATTACTGGCATATTACTGAGCAATTAAGAAATTGATAACATGCAAAGGATAAAATAGAGTTTCAGGTTTATTAGAATGGGCTGCTTTCACATAGTTTGCATATAAAATTACTTTTATGTAATATAATTTTATTTTTACTTAGCTAGATGTACTTCATTTACTTTATCTTTACTTGGCTAAATGGATTATATTGAACAACTGTATATTGAACACACTGAACAAGGTGTGTGGCAAAATCCACCCAAAGGATTCAAGACAATGAAAAGAAAGAAGGAATATTTGGTTAGGAGATTGATTTTGATGTTAAGAGTTTTGCTTAACCTGTTTTTCCTGAAAGCAGAGAAATACCATATTAATTATTAACATTATGTAGTTTTATAGTTTTCTGCTTTGGTATAGTAAATATTTAAGTTGTATTGATTGAGTTTGTAAAATGATATTATGCCACATGTGTTTAAAACCTAGTTGCCTCTTGAAAATTGGAATAAGAGAAACTATGAACAAAATATAAATATACATAAAACATTATCTTCATTTTAGTCTTGCCAATAGATGCAGTGGTTGTAGACAGTTTACAACTTCATTTTATTAATGTGTACATTTTGGCATACTGAATCTGTTATAAATGCATTTCCAAGACTAGTACCTTGTCAGATAGGTGGTAATCTGTGCTTCTTTGTGCCTTTGGTGACTCTGAAAGTCAACAGTTTCTACTAACAAAGAATTACCTATGTATTTTTAAATTATAAAATATATCCAACTAGCAATTCCATTCCTAGGTATCTACTCAAGGGAACTGAAGACATGTCTTTACAAACATATGTATTAAAATGTTCACAGCAGTATCATTCATAATAGCCAAAAAGTGCAAACAAATCAAATACCTATAAATGGATGTCTTGGTTACTTTTTGCTCATTGCTGGGACAAAATACCCAATACTAACGATGAAGGAAGGAGAAGTTTATTTAGCTTACAGTTTGTGGAGGTTTCAGTCCATCGTCACCTGGCTCCACGGCAGCATGGCATGGCACAGGGATAATACTTCAAGACTGCAGAAGGCAGCAAAGCAACAAGAATAAAAGCAGGTAG